TAACTGCAAAACGTCCCTGAGTGCCCGGCACGCGTGTGTCTGACCCAGGGCTGGCTGAGGCTGGCGGTGGGTCCTGGCATCAGCATCCTGTTGGCTGCTTTCTCCCTCTCTGTCTCTCTCTCTCTCTGTCTCTCTCTCTCTCTTTTTCTGGAGAGGTTTTTGCCTTAGGGCACATGTGCTCACCAGAGCGAGAGACAGAGACAGTGAGAGGGAAAGGACATACTGCAATCCCTTCTCCTCCATTCTCCCTCCCAGGATCACCAGTAAGCACGCACATGCGCCCGGCGTGATTTTGAAACCAACGGGTCTGGGACTTGAACTGTGGGGTTGGCCATGTGGGAGTCCAACAATGTAACCGCTATGCCATCTACTAGGCTCCAACTCTCTCTCTCTCTCTCTCATTCAAGAAAGAAAGAAAAAAAAATTAAAAAGAAAAGAAAGTGGAAGACATGACACAGGCAAGCCTCAGGGCCTGGGATTATTAGATCCTCCTAGCCAACCCAGGCCTTGAATGTGGGCGGGCAAGAACCACAGGGCAGACGTGGCCCAGGGTGTCCTGGCGGGACGTGCACATTGGCTGTGAAGGCCCCGGCACTGTCCAGCCAGCCCCGTGCAAAACTGTTTACGGCTTCCCTCCACGCGGGGAGTTTGGGTTTGATTTACGAGGGGGTAATATGAATATGAATCTCTTCAAAAAGAAAACAATCTTGCAGAAGCTGCCTGTTCCAAGGAGCCACTTACGACAATGTTTTTGCTCTTTTTGGTTCCAGGCCAGAAGAGGGTTCCAGATTTGAAAGAGTCCTCTTAAAAGGAAAACATCCTGGAGGAATGTCAAACTGCCCTTTCCAAGGCTCAGGCTGGACGTGTGGTGTTGAGGAAGCCACCTCGGCGTCTCTCATTGGGCACGGTGTACCTCTCGAGAGGACGCCTGGAGGATTAAATATGGAAATCTGGAGCGCCCCGACATGCCGTGTGCGAATCAGTGTGGCTCAGCACAGTGATTTTCTTTTCTTTCTTCTTCTTTTTTTTTTTTGTTTGTTAAGAGGTTTTTGCTATAGGGCACGTGCGCTCCCCAGACAGAGAGACAGAAAGCGAGAAATCACCCCCCAGGGGGGATGGCCATGCCATTCTCCTCTCAGGATCTTGGGCACACACGCACACGCGCCCGGTGTGAGTTTAAGCAACCGGTCCAGGACTCGAACTGCAGTCGAGGGAGTTCGGCGACATAGCCATTATGCTAACTACTGGTCCCATTATTTTTTTTTTTTATTATCTTTTTTTTTTTTAGTGATTTTTTTTAATCCCTCATAAAACAAATGTTTTCATTTGTTTGCTTTTTTTTTTTTTTTAAAGAGAGGTTTTTGCTATAGGGCGTGTGTGCTTGCCAGAAAGACAGAGAGACAGAAAGTGAGAAATCACCCCTGGGGGGATGGCCACGCCGCAATCCCTTCTCCTCCATTCTCCTCTCAGGATCTTGGGCATGCACACACATGCGCCCGGCGTGAGTTTAAGCCACCAGGTCTGGGACTCGAACAGCGGTCGACTACTTGGGAGTCCAGCGATGTAGCCATTATGCCATCTGCTGGTCCCTAAAACAAATGTTTTAAAGCTTATGCATCAGTTTTAAAGCACGGTGGAAGAAAAGCACATCAAATCCCAGGTTTCACAGCTACTACTGCCAGGATGAGACTTACATTAAAAAGTGAGTTGATATAGAAGTTATAGAGTAAATAAAAGTGCAGTTCGTACCAGAACAAGGCGAAACCTGTAAGATGGACACACTGACTTGAAGGGCAAAGACGCGGGGACAGAGGAGGCATCCGTGCAACAGCCACCGCCTAACGAGTGTCCTCGTCATCCCAGAGCCTCACAACAAGCCAGGCACGAATTAGTGTTCCTATTAGAGCTGAGAAAACTGAGGCTTAGGGAAATTTTTTTTTTAAAGTGCCCAATTATAATACATCTACCTAGAAAGTGCCAAAGTTGGGATTTGATTCCAGGTCTGTCTGTCTTTCATCTGCTGACTCTCTGACTGCCCTGTACTACCCTTAACAAGAAATCATCCTTTCTCTTCTCTAGAAAAAAAACAATGTCAGGGCCAGCAAGTCCATGGCGGTTAAGGCTACTGGATCCCACATGGCTGAGTGGTTCGAGTCCCAGCCTGGGGGCATGTGTGTGTGTGCCCCAAATCCTGAGGGAATCCCTGGGGGGGGTAATTTCTCATTTCCTGTATCTCTTTATCTGTCTCTCTCTCTCCCCAGTGAGCACGTGCAAATTAGAAAAAAAAAAAAGAAAAAGAGAAATCAAGTGTCCTTCATACACAGCTCATAAAAGCCCAGGTCTAAGGCACAACCCATTTTATTCCAACGTAGAAACTTACACCACATCTATGAGGGAAGAGTCCTCAAAAAGCTCATGGGAAATGCATTTTACGAAAACACTATGAGTAGATTTTATTATTTTTAAAAAGAATTATTTTATTTAATGTTATTCATCATTATTATTTTATTTTATTTTATTTTTATTTTTGGAGAGGTTTTTGCTACAGGGCGCATGCCAGACAGACAGAGAGAGACAGAGAGACAGAAAGCGAGAAATCACCCCCCAGGGGGGATGGCCACGCCACGCCGCAATCCCTTCTCCTCCATTCTCCTCTTGGGAACTTGGGCACGCACGCACATGTGCCCAGCGTGAGTTTTAAGCCACCGGGTGTGGGACGCGAACTGTGGTCGACTACTTGAGAGTCCAGTGACATAGCCATTACGCTAACTGCTAGTCCCCATTATTATTATTTTTTAAAATAATTCTTATTTGACTTTATTTATTTATACTTTTTTTAAATTTTAATTTGACCAGGGGCAGGGGGAGAGAGAGAGAAAGTGAGAAAGCAAGCCACCAGGTTCAGGACTCGAACCATAGTCGCCCATGTGGGAATTCAGCACCCTTAACCACGCCATCTGCCAGCCCTCATTATTCTCTTTTAAATGTGACTAGAGAGAGAGAGAGAGAAAGAAAGTGGGAAAACAAGAAGACAGATCTGGGACTCGAACCACTGTCAGCCATATGGGAGTCCAGCACCTCACTACCATGCCACCTGCTGACTCCTATTTAATTTTTTAAAAGAATTGTATTTAACTTTATTTATTTATTTATTTTTATTTGACCAGAGAGGGACAGAGAGAGAGAATGAGAAAGCAAGTCACCAGGTCCAGGACTCGAACTATGGTCAGCCAGGTGGGAGTCCAGTGCTCTTCACCACTGCACCACCCACTGGCCCCTTGCTTTTATTTTTATGGACAAAAATAAACTCATACTTTAATTCCATTTTTCACAAACTTTTTGAAGTCCCCTTATATTTGCACTTACGCTTGGACAAATACCGAATGTCAAGACCAGCAAGAGCCTTCGCATTTCATTTCCTCACCGACCTGTGAGAAAGAACCCTCCTTCGATAAGCACGGGATGGTTCACCCAGGCAGTGAATGTGCACGTGGATAGCTTCTGAAAACGCCCTCCATCTTCTCCTCTCTTCTTCCTACCTGCTGCCATTGTCTGAACGTATGTGTCCCTCCAATATTCATACGTTAAGTTTCTAACCCCTAAAGTGATGGCATCACAGGTGGGGCTCTGGGGGGGATGATCAGATCATGAGGGCAGAACAGAGTGAGTGCCCTTGTTGAAATGCCATGTAGACCTCTGGCCCCTCCCACCACGTGAGGTCGCAGAAAGAAGGTTCCGTGGAGGAACTGGAAGTCAGCCCCTTAGCAGACACTGCTCGGCTAGCACCTTCATCTTGGACTTCCCAGCCTCCAGAACCGTCAGAAATACCTTTCTTTCATTCATCTACCACCCAGTTTATGCTGTTTGGTTACAGTGGCCTGAATAGACTAAGACACTGACAAAGCAAGACAGAACGTGAGAACATAACGTAGAATTACTGGTAGCCCTCGTATGAATACTATACTATAGTTTGTAACTTACCGCTAGCTCCGTTTTGCCGACGGCTTCAGAGATTTATTGTAAGAGTTCTACCTGTGATCGTTTTTACTTCAGAAAAGAGTGGGCATCCGGCTACCTAGAGGATGCTTTGGGAAGGATTTTGCTACGATTGGCTGACCCTCAGGAAGAGTAAAATGCGAGCCATACAAACATGTTTGGATTTAGACCTGGTTGGTGTTTTGGCTCCTAATATCCAGTGAGTTAGAAATAAGTTTGTACTGGTTGGCCCAACCAGAAAGTAAACATGGTTTCACTTAGATTTATGACTCAACTTGCTCTACAACATCACAAGAAAGCATTTGGTCAGTAATGATTGAATCATGGCTCCTCTGACAGGCTGAAGGGGGGTATAGCCAATGAGATCCACCCATACATCCAGCGTCCCTGCGTGAGAGGGACCGGAGCTAGCCGGTCCTGCTGTGACAAAGGAAGGGATGATGAATGATGGGAAGGCTGAGTTCCACCTCACAAGGACGGTGGTCTGGGGAATGCCCATTTTCTGAGGGGACTTTAAAAATTTCATCAGAAAATGGAGTTAGGGCTGACCCCACAGCATAGTGGTTAAGCTCTGTGCATTACGAGCCAGACCCTGCATAACTGATCCGGTTCAAGTCCTCACCACAGTGGCTTGAAGAGCATGCCGGGCATGTGTGTGAGCGTGCCCAGAATCTTGGCAGAGTGGAGAAATGGAGAAGAGAGGGCTTTGGTCTGGCCACATGCCATTGGTAAACTGTAAAATCTCTCTCTGTGTCTGTCTCTCTTTCTAGGGAGTACTGTGTTCTCTGGCAATTTACCAAAAAACTCCAAACCCATATTATTTAGCGGCTGGGAGTACGGGAGGGTATTTACTACAAAAGGAAACTGCAGAACTCGGGGGAGGGGGGCTTAATGGCATGACATAATTATTTTTTAATAGAATTAAATACAAGGTTATTTTGCACAAACATTTTTGAAATCCATGCATAGTTTCTTCATAAAATGCACCGTTCATGAATTTATTTTTAAATATAGAACGCTTCACGAATTTGCGTGTCATCCTTGTGCAGGGGCCATGCTAATCTTCTCTGTTTCGTTGCTGCCAAAGCGAACACCCATTCATAAACTTTTTTTTTTTTTTTGGAGAGGTTTTTCGCTATAGGGCGCGTGCACTCGCCAGACAGAGACACAGAGACAGAGAGATAGAAAGCGAGAAATCACCCCCCCGGGGGGGATGGTCACGCCGCAATCCCTTCTCCTCTGTTCTCCTCTCGGGATCTTGGGCACGCACACGCGCCCGGCGTGAGTTTTAAGCCACCGGGTCCAGGATGTGAACCGCGGTCGACTACGTGGGAGTCCAGCAACATAGCCATTACGCTAACTGCTGGTTCCCGCCATTCATAAACTTTTTGAAGCCCCCTCCTGGGACCAGCAGTTAGCATAATGGCTATATCGCTGGACTCCCATGTAGTCGACCGCGGTTCGCGTCCCGGACCCGGTGGCTTAGAACTCACACTGGGCGCATGTGCGTGCATGCCCAAGATCCCAAGAGGAGAATGGAGGAGAAGGGATTGTGGCGTGACCATCCCCCCTGGGGGGTGATTTCTCACTTTCTGTCTCTCTGTCTCTCTCTGTCTGTCTGGCAAGCACATGCGCCCTATAGCAAAAACCTCTCCAAAAAAAAAAAGCCCCCTCCTATCTGCTTAGATGACACACACTTGGTGTCTGACTCTGGTAAACACTGCACAAAGTTGGGGACTGGCTGGGACCAGTAGATGGCGTAATGCTTACATCGCTGGAGTCCCACATGGTTAATGGCAGTTTGAGTCCCAGAACCGGTGGCTTCAAACTCATGCCGGCCACGTGTGCGTGTGTGTCCAAACCACAAGAGGAAAATGGAGAAGGGGTTGTGGTATGGCCACCCCTCAGGGGATTACTTCTCGCTTTCTGTCTCTTCAGCAAGCCCATGTGCCCTTCAGCAAAAATCTCCCCCCACCAAGAAAAAAAAAGGTGGGGCTTGTGATTTCATATCCGAGCATATGGACATGAAAGAAGGGACGAGGTGAGGGTGTAAGTCAGGAAGGATTTAGATATATCACTAAAAAGAAGGGCAAGCCAGACACCCACTTGCTTCTGTGGTCTTCTGCAAACACCGTGGGCAAGCGTTCGAGACCTATGAGGGAGGGATCCCACAAACTCACTGTATGATCTGAAACAAGGGACTTCCCGACTCTGGGCTTTCCCCTCCTCAACCCGAAAATGACAACATCTCAGAGGAGGTCTCTTTCCACTCTAATGTTTTATGACTTGGATCCCACTTCTGGGCTAATGTTTTTGCGAAACAGAAAACAGCTTACATTAGGGATTCTTCTTCTTAGTGAGAGCACATGGTAGCCAAGTGGTCGACAGATGGTGGCCATGCGTGCCAAACCCAGGGCTCGTCATTACCAAAACAACGGATAAAGTGGCATTAGTGCCTCTCTGTCATACCGGCACGCTAATGTGGACTCTCGGGCCCTGGATTCCCAGTCTAAATGAGTGACTTCTTCGCTCCAGCTCCCAGGCTCTCGCCTTCACCTTGCAGAATACGTTTTCATGCTTAAGCTCCCTTGATCTTGAAACCGTTAAAAGGAAAACACCCACACTGATGGCAGACAGGCCCGAGGGTGAATCTTGATTCTGCAACTTCCTGGTTGTGTGACACTAGACAAGATACCCTGGACTTTTGTTCTTCGTCTGGAAAATGGGAATAATAACTATCTCATACTGCTACTGGGAGGATTCAATGGGATAAAGCAAAGAAATAAATGTATTCAATAAAAGGTAGCTGAGGTTAGGGACTCTATTTATCAACATCAGCGAGGTCATGCTGAAGAAACAAATTAACCCCGGGAGCTGCCAGGTGGCATGGTGGTTGAAGCACTGGACAGACACCCACATGGCTAATCATGGTTCAAGTCCCGGACCTGGAGGCTTGCTTTCTTGCTCTATCTTTCTCTCTGTCTGTCTGTCTCTGGTCAAATTGAAGAATAATGATAGTAAATATTTTTTTAATTTAATCTTAAAATAATGATAGTAAATATTTTTTAAATTTAATCTTAAAAAAAAAAAAGAAACAGATTACCCCCAAAATCTCAGAGGAAGAACAAAGTCAAGCCATGCGAAGTTGCTAGTGCGGGTCAGCAGGAGATGCTGCTCCATGTAGTGACTCAGGGAACCAGGATGAAAAGCTCCATTATCTGAAACGTTTTTAACACGACAGGGGAAGACGGTGTAGGAGGGCTCAACTGGCCAATGAAATACTTGGGATCTGACCCATGTGAACTAGTTCCATGGCCCTCACGAATGCAAGGGACTGGGACATGCAGAGGAACACAGGATTAGAGGAGCATGGCTCTTTATGTAACATAGATCGAATTTTTGCTTATCATGGCTCCTCCCCAGTGCTTAGCACAGGCTTACTAAAGAAATTAGGACATGAGTCAAAAAGAAAGCTTCTTGGATGTCATAATGATTTCCTAGCTGAAATTTTTTAAGCTCTCTGTCTTTTTTAAAAAAGTTAATCAGCTATTTGTCATTTTTATCAAGTAGTTTATCACTGAAAAAAGTGTTTCAGAAATGTTGTAGAAAACATTGATTTCAAGGAAGTTTTCAAATGTTCTTAGACTTATGGGGAAAATGCCAGATCACGTTGAGGGCATGAAATGACACTTGGAAGAGGAAGAAAGAGAAGAAGGGACAGGACTGCCAAGGACAGAATGACCAGATGTTTGTAACTCTTACACTCCTGGCCTCTCAAGTCCTTCGCCCTGGATCCTAACCTCCGGGGTAGGCAGGTGGTTCATGACTATGGCAATCAGCAGATTAAGGACCCCAAAGAGGTCAAGGGCAGACCAGTGTCCCCTCCACACTGCTCCCTCCTTCCCAGACCCCATGACTCTGCAAAATCCTCCTTCCTTTTTGTTTCTAATTAATTAATTATTTAAAATTTGCTATAGGACATGTGCACTCAAGAGAGACGGGGAAAATGAGAAAGCACTTCTCAATTATGCCTCAATCCCTTCAATCTCTTCTCCATTTCCCTCTTGGGATTTTGGGCACGCACACACATGCACATGGTGTGTGTCTCAAGCTACCAGACCTGGGACTTGAACTGCACAGTCAGCCATGTGGAATCCAGCTGCCCTAACCACCATGCTACTGGCTGGCCCAGCCCTCCTTCTAGCCCCTTCTTGTGGGTCGAGATCTATCTAAAACATCTAGAGCTTTCCTGACAGCTGATGGTTCTCCCCTCCCTGAGTGAAGATGGGGGGACCCAGGAAAGTTCTCTTCTCACAGGATGGAGTCACCTGTCACCATCTTCCACTCTGGGATCACAGATGTGTCCTGGTCCTAGTCATGACCTCAGACAACTCAGAACCCTTCTCTGGGCTCCCCTGGAAGCATTTAGGGTATGATGTGGAGCCAAGAGAAGAGGAGGGATTGTGCAGATGAGTAAGCCTTGAACCCAACTGCGAGACAGAGGAGTGTGGCTGAGCGGGGACCACAAGCCCCACTGATGCCAGCTGGCCCTGTGTTGACCACAGGGATGGTGGGAACTGGGGACTCGGGACCACGGGCCCTGGAGCATGCAAGCCATGACCAGATGAAGCAACAGCCTTTCAGATCCAGCCAAGTGTGCCGAGTGGGAACGGGGCCCCGTGCTGGCGAATCTCTCCATGTTTTCCAAGAGAAGCAGGAAATGCAATATTTTAAGTGAGATTTGAGCAGGCTCACAGTTCCAGAGTCCTCTGTCAAATGGCTTGGCTCATGGTTCACCCATTCGCCACTGCCAGTGGGAGTCGATGATAAGACTTTATCGGAGTATAAGATGCTCAGTCCTATTGGATCTGATAATGTATCTTTTCACATGATCAGGCTTCTAAAAGGATGCATTGTTTTACCTTTTACAAAAGCATTACTATGAAAAATGGGAAAGCACGGGGTCAGCTCTTGGCCCAGTGGTAACACAATGCTCTGGGATGCTGGGTACACATGGGCAGGTCCTGAGTTCACGACCCATGTTCTCCTTGTGCAGGCTGGGCGCGTGGCACATGTGTGTTAAATGCCACTTGTATTTCTTTTTCTGTTCCTATTCTTTAGCCATGTGTTATTTTTTAAAGAGTGATCTATTTATGGGACCAGCAGTTAGCATAATGGTTATGTCGCTGGACTCCCATGTAGTTGACCGCTGTTTGAGTCCTGGACCCGCTGGCTTAAACTCAGACTGGGCGTGTGTGTGTGCATGCCCAAGATCCTGGGAGAAGAGAGGAGAAGGGATTGCGGTGTGGCCATCCCCCTGGGGGGTGATTTCTCACTTTCTGTCTCTCTGTCCCTGTTTCTCTGGCAAGTGTATGTGCCCTATAGCAAAAATCTCTCCAAAAAAAAAAAAAGAAAGAAAGAAAAGAAAAAAGAATGATCTATTTATTATTATTTTTTAAATGTGCACATGTGCTCACCAGAGAGAGAAGGGAGGAAAAGTGAGAAAGCAAGCTGCTAGGTCCAGGATATGAACCTCAGTTGGCCAGGTGGGAGTCTAGCGCCTTAACCACTATGCCACCTGCCAGTCCCCTCTTTGGTCATTTCTTCTATGGTAATGTTCTTGTCTCACTGATTGGTAGGAACTCTCTATCCATTAAGAAAAGTGGCTCAGGTCTGTGGTATAGGTTTATGCCATATAAGTTAAGGATGAACACATTTAAACTTGCGTGGGTATTGAAACTTCGCCACATCTCCCCTGTATTTGGGTTGTATATTATACGTAGAAAGGCCTTCGCTGTTCTGAGACCATTTTAACCCTTTCCTATCTTCGAGCTGCACGATTTTATCCTTTCTGCTCCTTTGAGGTTTTAGTCCATCCGGAACGAATTCTGGTGGAATGAGTGAGTTGTGACTCGATTTGATATCTTTCAGGTGGCCCTCCTGGAAAGAATGATTGCTTCAAGGACATTTGTTGATCATTCATCTTTTCTTCACTGATTTGCAAAGACACCTGGAACACACACTGAGCTAGTGTGCAGCCAGGCACCCTCACGCATCACCACAATTACCCAGGTGTGGGGTCCAGGTGAGACGAGACCTCGGGTCT